ACCAACCACAAGAGGTCATCCTTGGTCCATGAGAACCCTTTCTCTGCAGTCCAGGAGGAAAACTGTCTGCACAAGTGTACTGGATTTACTCAGGATTTTCAGGAGTTACAGAACTGAACATAAAATGGACACAACTAAGATTGTTTTGCTTTCTTCATTAAAAAAAAAAAAAAAAGTTTATGTAGTAAATTCAAAGTGGTTTTAAAAAATACGTATCTTTAATACATATTTTCTCACTTTCCTTAAATTTCTTTCTTGAACCCTTCCACATGCTCATAGTTCAACTTTAACACAAGGATCAAGAAAGGGGATATTATTTGGGACATTTTTCTTGCTAGGATAAATGGCTACTTATCAGTCCAAGAGAAGAGATAGTAAAAATCACAGTTCACATCCTTCCTTAAGAGATCTTTGGACCTTCAACAATCAATCTTGTCCCTTGTCCTCTTCTAAACTTAAGAAACCAGTTAAAATATTACAAAACTGCTTATTTTCTATTGTTACCTGATACAAGACTGTCTCACTGGAATAAGGAGGTAGAAAAGCTTGGAAACTGTTTTATGCTCCAAGGATTCTCTAACCCTGATCAATTCTAAAACTGGCTATTTCTTTTCACAAAATCTCTTGAAAATTATAGACTTTCTTAACCATACTTGTATTTTAAAAGTCTTATCTAGGAACCCATCTCATGTTCTAACAGGAACTTCACCCATCTTAAGTAGCTCCCTTCACCCATCTCATCAGCTTCCTTATGTCTTGTCCTGGCACTTACTATTTTTAGGGCAATTCAGAGTACTGTTAAAATGAGATCATCATATCTTGACCCTTTTAATCCCTTTTTTAATGTTCATCCACTAGCTTTTTCTTATTGTTCATGCCATACTTTTGCTTCCAACTGTCCCTTAAAATGGGCACTGCAATCCCTCTCGAGCTTGCCATTGCTGCATCTTTGCCCGCAGTAATACCCTCTGCCCACTCAATTTCCAAAAAGCACTGCCACACTTTCTTCCACCTGCCTCATACAGAAGAGCAAATCCTTTCGTCTTCCTTCAAAAGCCTCTTTAAAACCAGTGTCAATTATTCAGCTGGTAACATATCAATCTCAATGTAGCCAGGCAACTGACTTGCTTTGATCGCTGCCAATTCTCCTTCTTCTTTCCCAATCGTTCTCAGAAGCCCATCCACATCCAGATGCAAGCTCTTTGAAAGAGAACCATCTTCTGTATTTTCATGATCCCTTATGCCATATCATCCCACTCCATTCAAAGGGCTTCCATGCAATGGAATCAAATAATCCCAGAGGGCTTGAGTTGTGAGGGAAATGGCTTGCATAACTTATTTAGTGTGGAGGCATGGTCAATCTGGGAGCAGGTTTGAATGCCAGTAAATTCCACTTGGTCTCAAGCAATACAGTGAACAGTTTAAACCAGAAGTATTATCTTGACTACAGACTGCCTTCATTTGGGACCTGTATGATTCTAGAGCAGTTTCCAGACCTAGTCACAATAGAGACAACACCAAATTCACTAATGTCAACAGCAAACTTCTACTGATTTTCAGCCGAGCTGGGATGTCATCCTCAGCTAGATAGGCACTTGAGAGTCACATCAGCACAAAGAAATTGTTGTAGTGGCCATAGTATCCCTGTGGATATCACCATGGAAACCTCATCACAGATCAGACCTAACAATCCAGGAACATTCAATTAGCATCAATGGCAGACTATCCTCGTAAGTAGCTAAAATTTATTGAAATACTAAAAGTTTGCAGGACAAATACTGCAAAAGGAAAGAAATCCAATTCAGTGATTTCATGCATATATTACATGCCAAATTTCTAGCTATAGAGTATATTTGTCACTGTACTTTAAATTAGTTTTTAAATAAAGAATCCAAATTAATATTTCCTTCACATTTTATCCATGATTGTCCTCATCTCACTTTTTCTTACCAGCATTGCTGTTAATTAACATTAGAGAAACAGTCAAACTGAAAAAAATAATTATGTTTGGGGAATAAAGACAAAATACGTTAAATATTCTTAATAATTGCATACACACACTGTACAAGGAAATCACTCTGTGGTTTACACATGGACACTACAATATACTGAGTAGCTCTACCAAATAGATGACTTTCTGATCATGTATAAAGTTATTTTTTTAACATTACATAAATCATAGTCCAATGTTCAACCACTCGGAATATTTGAACTATATTACTAGGCCTGACAAAATCCATTTTTATGTTGTATCTAGAGGAAAGTGATAAAAACATACCATCTAAAATTTTCAAAATTATTATGGCTACTTTCTGTAGAGTAAAAAAACCAACTCCAATTATTTTACATCCCTGTTGTATTTCCCATGAAAACTGCAACATACTTTATGCAGACAAAATTCTCTCAAATTTTATACCAAATATGAGCCTTAATATAAGATTTCATATCTTCCATCAAATGAACTTTGTCTGCTAAATAATGTTATGCATATGCCCAGATATTCTATTAATGCCTACAGGTTACACCAGTATGCCAGCTTTCATTAGTCATATAGCCATATACAGCCATACTGCACTAAACCATCTAGAATATTCTTGGAACCTCCTTCTCTTCCCTCCTGCTCCTTCTCTTCTCACAGTTTTATTTTGTTCACTTTTGCTGAATGAGATCCTATTTCAAAGCAAAATAATACTGACATATGTAGAAATTTGAATTTCTGGCATAATAATAAGAACTGCAATTTTACTTTTTCTCCAGTTTGTAGGAAGCAGCTCTGAAATCAGCATGAAAGGCATGAAAAACTGCAACAGGAAAGGCAAGTGCCAAAAACAGAAAAAAATTAGGTGTAAAGGCCAACAAGTCTGACCAACAAGGGACCAGGGAGTACAACCCTGTGATATGTGGGCTGAGAGGGGATTAAAATGCTGACCTTAAACTGAGCAACCAATCTCAGCTCATCTCAAGGTCAATGTCCACTTGTTAGGGCCAAGGGGCTGGAGCAGGGCATATCTCCAAGGACCAGAAACAAGGTAACAGCCAGCTCCCACAAGCTCAGGACAGAAACCAGGGCCAAAAGACAATGTGACAGCCACCAGCAGCTCCAGCATCTGCCCAGCCAGGACATCTCTACAGCCTGCTCTGTCAGAGCCAGACACAGGGTGGGCACTTCAGGATTACCCAGGGCTGGCCAAGAGGCTTTGCTTATTGATCAATTGCCAACAAGCCTCCACCAGGGAAAACCTTGCAGCCTTTCCTGTCAGTGAACGAATAGGCAGCAAGGATCTTGTCTTTCAGTTCACAATGAACAAAAGCTTTTGAGGATTACTAACATGTATGGGATTATGGGAGGTGCCATCTTCTATCACAGGATGAAAGTGGAAAGTCCGTGTCAGCAAAATTCCCAAAGGAAAGGCAATAATAAATGTGTAGCAACCCATTTCCAAGCTGGATAATTGTATTTCATGTTTGCCGGCATTTATCTCTGCATCCTTCTTTCCCAAGGATTTCTGTAGTACTCCCACTTCCTATTTATGAGCTGCAACTGCTCCACTAGAGATGTAGCTGCACAACAGAGATAGGGACACAAACTCTCTGAGGATAGTATTTGACTAGCTTTCAGTAACTGCTTTTATTTTAGCACCTCAGCTCCAGCTCTGTTCTTAGATGGGCTGTGTCACATTGCATTTATTGTATTCATCTGGCAGGCATTGCTACATAGCAAGGATAAAATAGCAATTAAATCACTCCAAACTTTATATCTTCTTCACCTCAGATGCAAACAAGGCTATCTGATAGATACCCACCCATTTGGATGAGCTCACCAACCATGCAGAGCAACTGTTGAAGCTGAATCCAAGGAAGTCTGATATAATTGCAGATTGGGTTAATCAGAGGGAAGAATGTGTAATTTCTCTAGATTTCTTTTAGAACACATTTCCAGTACTTCCACTGCTCTTTAAGAGATGCAGGGCACAGATATTCCCTGAGACTCCTTATGCTAGTTACTGTCCAACTGTGAAATGAAGAAATTCCATCACTCCCTAACAAGGACCATTGCCTCATTCTCTTCAAAACATTCTCAAGGTCAAATTCAGACTCACTCATCAACTTTGTGGTGAAAAAAAATAACCTTTTAGAAAGGCTCTGGTCACTCCATAGCATTCCTGGAATGTCTTTATATCGATTCCCAGAATGGCCCATTCACCCCTTTTGCCTTCATTTGTGCCTCACTGTGGTGGTAGGGGCATGGTGGCTTCTGAGAGATTGAGTTGAAAGGATAGACGTTCAGGTGGGGGAGGCTGTGACACAAATGTTCTCCTGGGTGCCAGCACAGGGCAAAGGTATGGTGAGGCCAAGGTGACAGTGGGGGCAGTGACACACAGGCAGCCCACGTGAGGGTCTCGAGCAAAATGCCAGACTCACGGTTCATGTGAAAACATGTCACTGTACTTTATCCTCAGCAAGGCAGCTCTGAAATTCTCTCCCTTACCTTCTCCCAGCACCTTCAGCAAGTATTTTCAGGCTGTCCTTCCCATTTTACATGCTCTCTCCTCACTGCCAAGTACCTTCAATCCCCAACTCACTGATGGATGAATGCTGCAGTCAACACTCAATAGATCCATCAGTTACTGCAGAGGCACTTGTTGAGCTGGAAAGCATCCCATAAGAGGGGATATGTGCACAGGACTCTGAACGCATCATTTCCACCTTTCACACAAGTGATCCTGTTTGGGCTTCTGATTTATAAAGATCTTATTTAGAGGTCTTCCGTTGATCTTTCTGGGAACTTTAAATGACCCAGGAGAAACTGCTGGGATGCTGAATTTACTTTAGCCCCTAAAACCTCATGAATAAACTCAGCAAGGAATGTTTTTTGACAATCCAGTTATTTGATAGCCTTGATTAAACCTTTTTAGAATGACTGGAGGCTCTGAATGTTATTTATTCATATTTGAGCAGAGAAACAGTCACTCATGCATAGAAATCCGCAGTGACTCATGGAGTGATGTGCTTCCTTATGCACAGCAAACCTCAGTCAGTCACACAGTGACACACTCCTGCCCAGATATACTTGGCAACATGCACAGCGACAGCCTGGCCTGGAGCACTGAATTTAGAAATCCTCGCAGGCTCCCACAAGGGCGTCCTCTCCCTTGAAGCTGAAAACAAAACTCCCCAGTGACTCCAATCCATGGTGCCAAAAGAGGTTCAGCCACTTCCTCCTCTGATATGAGACTTTTCTCATCACTGTGGCATTTCCCTGGTGAGGATACCCCTAAGGTCAGTAATGCATTTAATTTTAATATTTTAATATCTGAGTGGCAAAGAGCTGCTGTTCTGCATTTGGGGTTTTATTTTGTTTGGCTTTATAAGGAAATTTTACATTAAACAAACATTACATGACAGTAAAGGGGATGAGATGGCTCAGGGGATCAGTACTGGGCTGTGAAGCCTTTCATTTATAGGCCAGTGCCCCAGTTCATTCTAGACTATTTTAGCTGAATTTAACACAGGAAAACAGTGAGCTCATTTAAAAGGTCTGAGCTCTCTGAAACAAATTAGATTTAAAATTAACTGACCAGTGACAAAAACACCACTATGCAAATAAACTTCACCAAGCAGCCACTTGCAAAAAACAAATGCAAGAAACATTTTACTTCTGCTGGGTAATGATGCAAATGAAACTGCTCTGGAAACATACTGGCTGCCAGGGGCATCCCATCCATCTTCTAGCCCAAATCTGTTACACAACTAGCTTTTGTAGGATGCCTGGAAGGTCTTCAAGCTCAGAGTAGGTCAGACCAAGAGAAGCAGGCAGTGACCAAAAGTTATTCCCTTCTAACTTCACTGATCATCATGCAAATTGCAAATTCATAGCCTTGAGGCCCTTGCAGACATATATTTAACTTCATATAAAATACATAGCAACATCCTAGGTGCAGATGGCAACAGTCTGCCCAGAGACATGACACCAACAAGAAACACAGTAAAACAAATAAACAACTCTTCAAACACCTTGATACTTCCAGGACCCATCAGACACACGCTCTATGCAGAGATTACAGAACTCTATCTTGTCAAAAGGAGATATAACCTAGTACAAATAAGCAAAGAAACCAACTCACTGCCCAGAATGCTGTTTTCAGAGACTGCTTGCTTTTGTCTTGCTTTTTGTCTTGTCAACAGTGTTGCAGTTTTCACTAGTGTTTTAAATAATATGTAAATACAATTAAATAATTGGAGCAAACCCTTCAATTCCCCCTCATAATCCATCAAAAAGGTTTTTGCTCAGCTTTTTAGCAGCACTGTGCTTCAAATACCTATTCTAAAAATTGAAATGTATTTCACAATACATCACCAGTGGATAAGCTCTAGCTCAGAATAGGACTACAGATTCATTATTCCACATTAAATATAAATAGGGAGTTTAGTGAACATGGTGAGCACATGACTATTTAGAATGACATTTCAAAAAGTCTAAATGTACAGGTATTTGAGAAGCAAAAGAACTGTTACTACAACTTTGGACTAGAAATGAAATCTAATAAAACACAAATGAGAATGAATAGAAACTATTTTCAGAATATCAACTAACAGTAGTGGAGCATAAACAAATGGGTTTTCTAAATCAATCAAAATACTGAGGACTGATATCCATGCCTAGAAATGGTTCTAAGTGTCATTTTTCATAGTGCCATAAGCATCTGATTTGACACTCAATTACCTGCATTCAAACATCTTATTTATAATACAGGTATTACATCACCTACACTGTGAAATTCAATATAAGATGAATTGCTGTATGATGCTATGCTACACAGGGTGCAATCCTGTTCTTTGTCCACAGTGCTTTTCAAAAACATGGTGAAGGCAGGTAAGATGGGAGCTTGTTAATCTTGTGAAAGAGATTGTAAGAGAGATCTCCCTACAATGTCAGGGAAGTGAACACTTGATGCAAAAATTCTCTTTCAGTCCTCTGAATCAACAGCTAAGCCACCCATGTTGTATGCCATAAGACAAATTATCTGTCCTTCATATTTCATTAGCTGAATAAATTCAGTATTTAATTCAGACAGTGCTCAGTGCCACTGATATAAATGTCATCTAAATGGAGCTGTAATTAGACAGGAGAACCATTCAGTTCATATTTGCATAAGATTTCTACAAATGAATTATACGAAATAAGGAAAAGCCATAATTAGAGAAAAATTGCTATCTGGATAAGAAGTGACACCAAAGAGGAACATGTCACACACTTCGATAACAGAAGAAGAACATGGAACAGCTGAAATGTTGAATTTGTTAGAACAGATATTTCAGAAAAATATGGCAAACAAATATTCTACCTTGCCTAGGACACAGTCCAACTACCTTTGAAATTAGTAGGATCCTCCTATTCAGTATCTTTGCAGGTAAGGTTGTTAATCCTGGGAAAAGTGTAGAGCAGTTGTGCAATCCTTATCCATGGGAACTTTCAAGTTTCAGCTAGACAAGGCCTTGACCAGCCTTATTTGATGTAGAAACTTTCATCAGGAGACTTGTATAGGTGACTCTAGAGGCCCCCTCCTATCTAATTAATTGTGTTATTTTAATAATATCCATTCTAAATACAAGAGAGCTTCTTGAACTCAGTGCTTGGGAGTCTAGCACAGATTTTCCATTGCTTAACCACTCTCGCTTCAAAGAATTTTTTTCTGTATATCAGTTGTAATTCCTCTTGCTGCAGCTTGTGACTGTTGCCTGCCATGCTGTCACGGGGTACCCTTGAGAAGAGCCTAGCTCTGCCTTCTCTATAAATTTCCTTTAGGTCCTCAAAGACAGCAATTAGACCTTCTCAGCCTTCCCTTCTCCGGATTAAACTGTGTCAGCTCTCTTCATACATCACAAAACTACCTCCCCTGAACCTTGACATTCTCCCACTGTTCTCTCTCTCTCTCTCTCCCCCCATGTGGCCCCAGACTGTAAAATTTTGTACTGGTTTGCTCTTGTGCCAGAATAGGCATTTTTCTCACCCCTCTAACTCAGCACAGACATAGTGGCAATAGAAACCCCATTCTCCCATTCCAACCTTTCATTTTGACAGACACAGCACATTCTTTTGGCCTCGTCCTATGGGTCTGGCTTCTCAGTTTCCTGATCACCTTGGTAGTCTCCTGATCACATATGTGAATTGCTCTCAGATCCTGTGACCAATTAAAACATTCACATTTTTCATTCTCCTCTGCCACATCCACCTGACAAGCCTCCAGCACTGAGAGAGAAATTCTTGTCATCAGTCATCCTCTGTCTGACCTTGATTTTTTTTCTTTTTACCTTTTTCATTTCTGTCACACAGTTGCTGCCATTTATCAGGCATCTCCCTCCTCTTCTTCACAAATAATACCTTTCAGTGTCACCTATGCAACAAATATATCACTGCGTGCCAGCCTTTTGATGGGATCAGAGGAAAGTGAAACAAGGTAATTTATGATATTGTAATCTCATAATGGAAAAACAATACTAATAACTTGCCAGCAGACAACACGTTTTTTCTCCATAACAAAAAATTATAGCTTCCTCCTTATGTTACAAAATGAGTCACTGATTAGTCTTGCACTATCCCCTCACCTCAGCAATCTTAATTAATATATGGTAATTAACATATGATGGCACATTAACTGTGCACATAAATCCCAGTAGTAGCTTTACTGTATATCTTTCATCTCAAAAAACAAAATAAAAAGCTCCAGTAAGATACCATGATAAAAATGCTGTTGAGTATTTTGTTGAAGTCATGGAAGAAATGTGAAAAAATGCAACTTGAATATCATAGGAAAGATTAATAGATTTTAATAAATAAGTTGACAAATGAGTGAGCTCCCTGAATCAAAACTCTAATCACTTAACAGCAAAATTTCTCTTTTTGTTTTATCTCTTATCTTTCTTCTTTTCCCTTTTGATACAGACCACAAACATTGACCAGACAAAATAACCATCTAGAAATTTCTTGGGAAAATACTTTCAAGGGCAAAGATTAATGACTGCAAGCATCAGTTATAATAGCAGGGGGAAAAGATACACACAAAAAATCTCTACAACATCTAATTCTAGGATGCTTGTTTTTAAATATTATATTTGAATATGCCAATTCAGTAGATGTCACTAAAGTTTTTTGCCGTAAGTTATTTTCTTTGTTTCCCATTTCTTTATGTAGTTAGATCAGCAAATATAAATGTCTTCAGACAAAATTATCTTACATCAAACAAATATTGACATGACTTTTAAGGTCCATTGCTGCAAGGTCACGATTTAAAAACAAATTAAAGTTGATGTATGCCATTTCAAAGGTCATTTAGAAAGGTGTATGCTGCACCTATTTTACAATGCAATCCCCAGGGAGGTGAACATACTGAATGCTGCAAGTAGACATGGCAATAATAAAGATAATTATGGTAATAGGCGGGTAGGCAATAGAGGTTTAAATAGATCAGAACAAGCATATTATTTAGAGAAAAAATAAATTTCTGTTCATTCAATTAGTAGTAATTGACAACAACTCAGGTCAGTATTTATTTCAAGTTGAGAGATGTTATGCTTTCTTGTATCTTTAAAGGGACTGAGATATCACAGCAAAAGGCAGTAAAAATATTTCATTGTCATACAGCACAGTCCAGTGTCACTGCATATGAAGGTCTAATCAGAATATTGCCATTCTGATAGGGCTGTGCACACACCTAATTTCCTGATTTTCCTTTCTGATCTCTCTAATTTTCAGTAGAGGCATGAATCCTTCAGCGAGAAAGCATGAATCCTTTATTATTACATGAGTAACTTAAGGAATAAGTAAATGTCCATTCCTGAAATGTGCTCTCACAGCAAAGGAAGAATTTTTATGAGATGAGCAGAGGGGGAAGTGGGCAGAACAGCCCTGAAGATGGTCAGTGTCCATGTGAGCTGGTGCATGGTGCTGCAATGGCACTACTCAGCTTTGACCATGGAAAAAGCAAGCCCACCTTCCCTCAGACAACTGTCTGCAACACCCTTTTGCTGAATTATTCCCATTTGAAATGTGAGTTTATTGCCTTAAAAATATGTATCTGACCAGCAATCAGTATGTAATCCAGAGTGCCATGGCTCTGACTTGCCACATGACTCTGAAAGGTGAACAAAAAAGAGAGTGAGGTAGAAAGATGCTGCTAAAAATTTCTTAGTTCTGTATCACAGTGTTGTGGTTTGACACGGAAGTGAATTTTCTCAGGAAGAAGAGGGTCAAACCAATCAGTGGTCATGTTTGGATATTGGCAGCTGGAGTGACCACTGAAGGCTGGACACGCCTCTGAGAACACAGTTAAAAGCAAGAACTCCCAGGAGAACTCTCTCTCTTTGGTTCTGGGCATCAGAGGGCACAGACCTCCCCTGCCCAGCCACTGGCTGGGTGGGGCAGGGGAAGCCAAGCAGCCTGGGGAGGTAGGCCAGGGTGTGAAGGATCTGGAACTGAGTCAGCTCCTAGGGACGGAAAGGTGGAGGAAGGCTGAGATGTCTTTGTTGCCCCCTGTCGGAACTCAAAATGTCCCTCAGACATTTTTGGATGTTCCGGGTCCAGGTCAGAAGCATTTGAGACCCTGGCAGGCAGCTGGAAACAGCTGTGATTTTGGATTTGAACCATGGAATGATTTACCAACCTTGCAGGGAGAACAAGAAGTCACAAAAGTTTAGATATTGTAGTAGAAGTAGTCACAAAGTAAAGGGAAGAACTTTTGAGTGCTGTACAGGGGGGTTTTGGTTTTGTACATGGGGGTCAGAAATTTTAAGATGGAGGGATCTGGGCCTGTCCTGTCCTCCCTCTTTCTTCTTCCTTACCTCCATGTTCTTGGTGATGTTGGCACTCACAGATTGGTTTAGAGTAGAAAGGCACCATTTAATATAGGTAGTAGGCATTGGGGGAAAACTATAAACATTTAACACGTAATGTACCATACAAAAGATAGCACCAGCCCTGGGCAGGGAGAGAAGAAGAAGAAGACGAGAGACAGAAAGGATGTCAGGGGTGTGTGTGTCTTTGCCTGAGCTGCTGAGCAAACCACAGCAGCTCAGAAAGAAAATCTTTTAGATAACTTGCAATAAACAACCTTGAGACCAGATGACTGAAGACTTCTGAGCCTTTTTTTGAAAGTATGGGTTGGAGGAGCGATTTTTCCACCACACGGAGCCACCCCACTACCTGTAGTGAGCTCTGGCACCCCCCTCCCCCCACCCCCACACCCAGAGGGAAAGAGACAGAGAGCCTGAAGGCACCTGGAAATTTGCTGGCAGAGGAGAAGGAGAAGGGGGAAGGTGCCCAGCCATGGGAGTTGGAGTCTGATCCAAGATTAAAGCCATCCGGGGAGTCCAGGACTTTTAACCCTTTCCTGGGAAATGAAAGCTTTATGAAATATTACTCCTCCTCGATTTGAAAGAGAAGAGAGACAGTCTGGGACCTGAGATGTTAGGAAAATAATCCTTGGTGGGGGGAGTGGCTTTTGGCTGGACTCTTCTTGTTAGCCATAGACTGAACCAAATTTTCCTGCAACAGAGACTGCATTTTTAGTGGGATGCAATAGTGAGCCAAGAGACCTGCTTCAGCAACTACCAGTACAGGAATGGAGTGAACAGAGGAAGCTGAGGAGGGTGTGGTGATGCCTTCTGTCTTCAAGAAGAAGAAGATCTCTCTTTTCACCCTTGGCCCCAGGGGAGGAGGAAAGTGGAGGGGACTGTGTTCCCAAAATTAGAAACTGAACTATTGTTTCTTTTGGTCCTTGTCAAAGCATCCTTAAAGGAGCCCTATGAGCAGTCTGTCCATGCATGGTGGTGAGAGCACTGTGACATGGAAATGAGAGTGTCACACTAGCAGATTTTCTACAGGCAGTGCCATGTGTAACATAGAAACACAAGAGGTGGCAATTGTGTTTCCTTGGAGGTCTATGGTGCAAGAGAGACTCCTCTCTCCCTTGATGGACTGAGTATTGATTATCTGAAGGGTGATGAATTTATTGAGGGTCCAAGTTTTGTCTCATTGTGGTTTGTTGGGGTGAGGGGAGGAGGAGGAATGTTTTGGAAGGTTTTCATTCTGGATTTAATGTGTGTCTTTTATCATAATAGTAGTTTAATAAAAGTTCTTTTCCCTTTATTTCTAAGCTGGGCCTGCTCTGCTCTGTTCCTGATTGCATCTCACAGCACTTATGTGGAAAGGTGTATTTTCATGGGACACTGGCATTGCATAAGTGCCAAACCATGACACATGGACATCCATTTATTTTTGAGAGATTCCGATTCATTAGCATCCTCTGGCCCTATAGGTAAAACTAACTTTATGAGATGCGTGATGACACGGTGGAGTGGAACAGAAGAGAAAACCAGTGCATGCCACTGTAGGGTTATGCCTTTACAGAAACTCTGCTGTCATTGCATCATTTAGCTTACAGAAGTGGCTTTCACTTTTCTCTCTAGTGGCCTCTGCAGGTAGCTCAGCTGAGGGTTAAGACAGTCACCAGTGTGCTGACATGTGCTGTCTTGAAAGACAAATACATTTTCCAGGCAGTGTAGGGTGGCCCTCACCTGTTACCTTGGCAGGCCAAGTGAAGACGTGACAGTTCTGACCCTCTGTCAGGTAATATTGAATGATAACCATTCAGAGACACACTCAACTGTCCTTCCACTGTTTTTCGCACAAAGTAACTGAAAACACCTCTAAAAACGAGGCTGACTCTCATTACTTTCTGCATTTTCCTTGAAACAAGTCTGCGACAACTCCCCAGAGACTAGTCCAGTACTAATGGAAGTTCTGTGAGCTCTAAAATGGCTATTCTCATCTATTTTTTTTTTTTTTTAATTCACTTTTATTACAGCCCTAGGCCACTCTATTGGTTCAGAAAATGAGTGAAGTGACAAACTCCTGCCATCTAGAGGGTGGTTGCTGAAACATATTTGAGGCAGACAACGTTTCACAGGGTAAAATAAAACTAAGATAAAAATCTTAGTGTCTACGAATGTTCTTGGTCTTTTTCTAGATTACTCCTTCTTTTTCATTTGTGAGTTTATGTAAAAATGCCTAGTCACATCTGTACATGTATAATAGTCCTTTTTTCAACAGCAATATTCATTCATGAGAGCAGATTAGCTGACTAGGATAATGATTATAAAATAGATTAAAAGTTTGTTTATACTCTTTTCCAACACTATAACATTCATCCTAATTGAGTTCTTGAATTCATGGCTGCCTAAAACAGACTACAATGGTCACAAGCAGAATACAAAAACATTGGTGATTAATGACATTCATTAAGAAAAGTGAGACTTACACAAAAACACTTCTAACAAATTACTTTTCCACACACTTTCTCATGAAGAAGAAGCATCCCATTTAGTGTCCACCACGATTTTTTTTGTTGCTAAACAATAATGCTGTTTTGTTTGCATCCCACTAACCTACTGTGAAGACCATGTCTTGAAGGAAAAGCATGACAAGCAAACAAATTGTTGTGCGAGAATCAACAGTGGACTCACAAAAGTTAGGAGTGTCTTCCTGGAAAGGCAATGATGGCCCATGAAAATCTGTGTCTCTCATTAAGTGAAAATGACATTCCATAACCAGAAGCCAATTTTCAGGATGAATTATATGACCAAGTACAATGTGAAGCAACACAACCACCTGACTCGAGGATATCAGTGATCAAAGCACATGAAGCAATGCCCTAGATCTTACTTATATGAAATATGTATCAAACCCTTTCTAGGCGAAACACCATCAAACACACTAGAATGCCACGC